AAAGAGAGCTTCAAAAAACAGCTTCAGATTAACAACATGAACCTCAGAAATCCACCCAGAGAAGCTGCTGACTCTTTGAACCCTGAAAGATAAAACACACAGAGCTGACTCCCTCCCCCGAGCGGCTGCTGAGAGGGGATCACTTATTTTTATTGTGATGAAATCCCCTTCACATCCTGAGGGACATTCCTGGAAGACTTGAAATCTCTCCACTGAGCAAATTGTAACACAGTTGCCCCATTCAAGCATCCCCAGCAGCGGGGACCCTAATCCATCCCCAACTAAGGGCCAAGAAGTCATTTATCCTACAAGATTCTTGCCCTTCCCTACTCATGCCATGGACTCTGGGGACCTCTCCCAGCCATAGCCAGTCTCAGGGAAGGCCACTTCACAGCCCATCCGGAACATTAAATCAAACAGACCTGCCATCACTAGTTAATCGCCTGTCTAAAGGTGAGTCACGCTTACCTCCAGGTAATGCATCTGGCAGGTGGCACATCCATGACAGGGTCATAGCAGCGACAGTGGGTGTCAGGCGCTAAAGCTCACACACCTTTCTCAAGGCCTCTTCCGGACTTTACAGTCCTAACTCACTTGCTCACAAGGGTCCCGAGAAGCCAAACAATCAGAAACCTGGAACTGTTTAGAAAAGAATCCCGGCTTTGGATTGTCTCTGTTCTGGTTTCTGCCCTTGCTGCCTGTGGGCCTGGAGTGACTTCATAACCTCTTGAAGTCTCCCTCATTGTCTTTATGAGACAAGAGTCAGAACACCTATGACAAGGATGCACAGTGAGTGACTGTAGTGCCCAGGACAGTGTCATAGGTGCCCAAGGAGTGCAGCTATTGTTACCATTGTAAACAGCCCCTGGAAACTGAAAAGAAAACCCTGCTCAAAGCAGTATCGTCCACACGGAGGAGAGATCAGGACGACTATGACTCCAAATCTGGTGTCAAGGGCTCAGAAAACGTAGTGGCTAGTGGGGCAGAGGGAAGGTGCCAATGAGATGGTGTTCGTTAGGGGCAAGCTGCCCTCCACATTCGGCTGGTCCTTTTCAGCCCCTGTGAGGGCTCAGCACAAAGGGGTCTGGAAACCAAGTCCTCTGTTTACGAGCTCCAAAATGTCCTGCATGCAAAAGCCTCTGCTATCCAAACCGGCCGGCTCTCTGCCATCTGCACTGGGCTCCTCGTCCTGTGTGCAGCCCTGCCGGGACTCCTGGCCAGGCCGACAGGACCCCTCCTAGTCCAGCCAGAGGGAGGGCCAGAGCTGCTTTACAGTTTACAGGGGATCACATTTCACCGTGGAAGCCTGAGAATGAGCCACCCCTGTGAGATCTGCTGTGCAGGAAGCAGGTCCGTTTCTTTTCCCACGGAAGGATTGGGGGCGGAGGAGGTGGACACCCAGACGATGCGCCTCTGGATCCTGTTACTGTTACTCACTGAGTGGTGGACTGAACTGCCTCAGAGAGCATCTAGTGGTTTCCTGCTTCTCACCAATGGGAGGGAGGCCGAGGCCCAGAGAGGACAAACCTGCCTGAGGACACAGGGCCGTTCTCAGGGCCTAGCCACACTCCGGTGCAGCAGCACCTGGGCTGGTCGGGGCAGCTCAGGTTCTTTGACAGATACTCAGAAGGACCGTGCCCACAGATCAGGGGACCTGCCTGGCCTTGGCACCCTGGAAGGACCAGCAGAGGCCCCACCCACAGGCCCAGCAGCCCCTCCTTCTGCAGCCTCTTCAGCTTTATTTTGGTTCCTAATGAGTAGAGGAGAGGGGAAATGGGAGGGCCCCTGAGGAGGTCACTGGGGTTTTTGTCAGTTTTGTCCCTGAGACCTGGGCAAACTCCCCTCCCCGCTCTGAGCTGCCTTTTGCACAGCCATAAATTGGGACCAGAGATTGCACCTGACACCAGGTACCTAGTGAGGTAGGTCAAGGGGAGACAGCGCTTGGCACTCATAGGGCCCCACATAAGTGGAGAGTGCTTCTGGGCTTCCACCCAGAAATAGGGTGGAATAGTCAGTCAGATACACGTTTGTGCCCACATGTGTATGTCCACACACGTGTTCCTGTGTGTTTTCACTCTGGTAGGTGGACGTGTGAATTGGTCTCCCTCTTGCCCGTCTCCTGCGTCCCCTTCCCTGCAGCAGCTCCCTGGCCATCCCTGAGCCACTGATGCTGTCCCGGGGGACCTCCAAGCTCCTCTGCCCCTTGCAGCCCCTGCTTCCTGCTGGCTGCCAACTTGGCTTTCTTCTTCTTTTATTTTATTTATTTATTTATTTATTTATTTATTTATTTATTT